ATTTATCTGAGCAATGCTCTTTTGTTATACATTTTTCGTAAATGGAGGCGTATTTGTCCCAAGATACATCTCTTAATGCATAATTCAAATAGGTATTACAAAAACGTTCCCACAAAACCAAAGGATTAAATCGAACCCATAAATATTAAATATTTACATTTTAGATACTTTAAAAATTTTACCTACATTTAAATCTATCAGTTAATCACAAATTCAACAGAGAAAGGGAGGGTGTACAAGATCTTTGTAGAGGTAAGAAAGGTATCTTAGAATTTATCACTGTAAATCCTTGCAAGCTTCCACCAGAAGTCAGACTATGCCACAGTTAAGAGCAGGTATTTTGGAATCAGACTGCCTGTTTTGAACAAAGGCTGTTGAAGCTACTTAATCTTCCAATACCTCAGTTCCTTCATCTACAAAATGGAATAGTAATGCCTGGGTGGTTGCGAGGCTTAAATGAGATCACTTGCCTGGCACATGGCAGTCACTTGTTATGTGTCGCTTACCTGTGGTTCCTTCCACTCCACCAATCTTATTATTTTCAAAAGACTGCCTTTAGAATGTACTATTTTTTCCAATCATTAAGTGAAATTTCCCGCAAAGAAAAAGATGACGGGATAATTTTCCTTTTATCTCTCCTTTCTAGTTCATCTTTGCCCAAGCTTTGCCTGTCTGGCCTGGCACACTTGTCTCACCTCTCTATGTCCAGAAGTAGTCATCCCCATCTAGAACTTTGAATGAGATGCATGGTGGGGTTGGCTTGCTGCTGCCCACTCAAGCTGTCGACATCCAGATGCTGAACACTTATCTGTTTAAAACCAAGTCCCCTGACTCCATGAGAGAAAGAGCACCTGAGGGTTTCCTCCGTGGTCTGGAGAGGCTTCTCCAGATCATTCCAGGTGACTTGGATTCAGTGGAGCTGGAGGGAGGGGTGCAGTGAGATGTGAGGGTAGTTATTGCTCCAACTTTGAAATGGCCACAGAGCAGAATGGTAACAAAAATCAAAATCACAAACACTAATGAGGCTCCCTAGTTGGTGCCGGCTCTTTTCCTGTCGCCACCCTCCACAGCCCCAGAAGAGAGTGGAGGATTATAGGTTTGGTGGAATCCTTGGGGCACATTCAAAGAGTTTGAGGTTTTGTTTGAAAGTCTGTTTGCAGACAGTAAAAATGGATTAAATTGCCTCTGCAACACAAAGAAATGCCAGGTCTCAGTAGAGGTAAAACACCAGAGACTTAAAGTGCTACTAGAAGCAAAATAATGAAAAGAGTCCAAAATACTGAACCATCTTTACAGCCAACACTATAAACTTTATGTTTAAGAGTACACACATTAATTGTGATAGAAGGAACCGAAGAAATAATGCATTTAATAATGTCATTTCTTCTTGAAAAGAAACAAGTTAAGGACCATAGTATATTTTATATATGCCTTTTTAGAAAGCACAATAGAAAGTTATTTCCTTTGTTGTATTTCCCATTGCTGCTCCCTCCTATAAAACTCAGATGCTTTATGCATAATTTCTAGAAGTGGAATAGGTGAGCCAAGCAGTATTTATACAATGCCACCAGAATCCAAACAGTAAATGAAGAATAAAGATGTGACTTCTTAATTTCTTAAGTTGCAACATTTAAAATAATTCTAAGAGGTTAAATTATTTGGATTAATTTTATATATATTGAAAGCATTAAATTGCATATCTAGGGGAAAATGAAAAAACTATCCATGACAGCTGCAGCAAGACCATGCTAATAAAAAAGTACCACATATTTGGTGAGATACTACTGATTATCCAAGCTTTAAAGTACTGACATTTTAGACTGATATCACCTAGTAAAGATACCATGAAGAAGATCAATTACATGGATACTATTGTTTCCCCCAAATGTTTCCCCCTAAATCATTTTTACTCTCTCACAAGTAGATGACTAGCTCTTTCCATGGCTGAATTAATATTTCCAGAACTTAAGAAGTCAACCTGTATAATATTCATTGCATATATATTTTGTTATATGTATTTTTTCATTTTTTGCCCTTTTCTGCATGTTCATGTGTGCATGCATTTTTGCCTAAGAGTTTTCTGACAGCCTTCACTATGGTGGACATTGTTCTGGGCAGAAAGGGAAAAGGACATGGCCCAGTTCCCGCCCTCAGTGGGAGCTCCATTCCTCACCAAGCAGTGGACTGTGTGTGTGCTGCAGGAGTATTAGGAGCTGTCAGCTACAGAGAGGGAATGCATGGTTTGAAGGAGAAGAGGAAACTTCATGGAGGAGTGTATGCCTCAACTGAACTCTGAAGGAATGTTAGAAATTATTTTGAGAATGATTTTTTTCTTATCATAAAGGTGTATCATGTTCATTTTTTGGTCAAATTAATAGACTTTATTTTTTAGAGCAGTTCTAGGTTTACAGAACATTGAGCAGATAATAGAGAGTTCCCAAACTGCTCCTGCCTCCCCTTGTCCCCATGTAATTTCCTTTATTATTAACATCTTGCATTAGTGTGGTACATTTGTTAAAATTGATTAACCAATCCTGATACATTATTATTAATTAGCATTTATAGTTTACATTAGGGTTCTCTTTGTTACACAGTTTTATAAGTTTTACAAATGCATAGTGTCATGTGTCCATCATTACAGTGTAATACAGAATAGCTTCAATGCCCTAAAAATCTCTGTGCTCCACTATTCATCCCTCCCTCCTTTTCCATGGACTTCTGGTAACCACTGATCTTTTTACTGGCTCCATAGTTGTGCCTTTTCCAGAATGTTGTATAGTTGGAATCACACAGTATGTAGCCTTTTCAGACTGACTTCTTTCACTTACCAACATGCATTTAAGGTTCCTCCATGTCTTTTCATGGCTCAATAGCCATGTTCACTTTTTTACAAATAGAACAAACTATCCATAATCCCAGAGATAGGCACTATGAACGATTTGATGAATTTCTTTCCAGTTTTTTTTTCATGGATAGATAGACATATCAAATAATCATACTATCTATACTATTTAGAAATCTCTTCTGTGACTTAATAATTTATCAAGAATATCATATTACTAAACATCAGTTTGTAAAATTACTTGTAATGTCTAAAGATTACTCGATTTCTGGATGCATTATTTATTTAACTAAGTTCTCATTCGGGGGCACAAATGTTATTGCAAATTTTCTGCTGTTGTATACAATGCTATGACAAATGTTCTTGCCAAATATTTATTTCTATATCTTTAGGAAAAATATCCCAGATGTGTAATTGTATCACACAGTGTGTAAAGTTTTCAGGCTTTTGATAGAGATGACCAAGTTCTGCTCTGAAAGGTCTACAACACTCTCCATTCCCCCAGAGGTCAGGAAACCACACATTTCCCTACACCTCATCAAAGCAGGTAACATCCTTTCGAATAGGTTTAAGCTAGAAGGATATTTGGCATGCTCTTACTGAGTGGTTAGAAAGTTAGGAGAGGGGAGGAGGCAGTTGATGATGGAAATAGCATGAACAAAGGTATGAGGTGAGTAGGCATGATCATGTTCAAAAAAATCAAATACTCCAGTGTGGTTGAAGTACAGAGAGCATAGATGGGAAGCAGCATAAGCTGAGGCTGGAAAAGCAGATGACAGCTAGATCACAGGGTTGTTGAATGCCCAGCTAGAAGTTTATATAACTTTAGAAGACAAAGGGAAGCCCAAAAGGTTTTTGAGTAGGGTGGTGACCTAAACAAAGCCATGTTCTGGATTATTTTGGTGGCAGCATGAAGGTGAACTGGAGTAGGGTGATAAAGAGTTATGAAAATGTTGAAGATAGGGATGACAGTTGAAGACAGGAGGCGACAATGGATTCAGGCAAGAAGGATGAAACGGGGAGTAGGTGCCCAGTGATGTTCCAGAATTTCTTTGGCCCCTCTGCACCTTATTTTCCAACAATTTTCTCCTAGCTACCTTTGCATCCACAGTAGACAGAAATTTGCAACTTGAAGATTTTTGTTTTAATATGGGTGCTTTGAGGATCCAAAGCAATAAAGGAATTTATTTCCCACTGTGGAATTTCAGGCAATATGACAAGTCAGGAAGAACATCTTCAGGCAGAGGCTTTCCTTCTATACTCATAATCACAAGAAGAAACTGCTCTGGCTTTGGATTTATTTGTATAAGAAGCCATATAAAGGTGTGAAGTCAAAATCATATCTGGTTATGCAGTTAGTAAAACTGACTTTTAAAACTGCACCGTGGCTGGGCACGGTGGCTCACGCCTGTAATCTTAGTACTTTGGGAGGGCTAGGTGGAAGGATTGCTTGAGATCAGGAGTTTGAGGCCAGTCCAGGCAAGAGCAAGATGCCATCTCTACACAAAATTAAAGAATTAGCTGGATGTGGTGGCACACACCTGTAGTTCCAGCTACTCGGGAGGCTGAGGCAGGAGGATCACTTGAGCCCAGGAGTTTGATGTTGCTGTGAGCTATGACTATGCCGCCACACTCTAGCCAGGGCCACAGAGTGAGACTCTGTCTTAAAAAAAACAAAAAAAGAAATACTTTATTAAAAATGATGCAAATGTATGACATTGAGACTATGGCCAAAGTTTGGGATGTTTAGTTACCATAGCTATGATACCAGCGTCTCCTATGGACCCTTACAGCTTTTCACAGAATTTGTGAGTAGAAGATCAGAGAAGCTAGTTCAAGGAGAAGGGGCAAAGGAAATGACAGGGTTAGGAGCTAGTGGTTTACCCACAGTTTGAATGTCCAGAAATAGCTGAAATGGTGACTGGAACCCAGGAGAGATATTCAAGTTTGCCTGTGCTGTTTGGGAGTTCCTCTGCACATTCGCAATTGTTAAAATTGTAAGAATTCCTAAAATTTCCTGAAAACCAAATTTTGGGTTATGTTGGTTAGCTTCATTAAGGGAAAAAATCACACTATGAGCACTTTGTCTATACCATCTTTTTTTTTTAACTTACATATATATTTAGTTTTTGACTCATTATAATTTACTTGCCTTTTGACAAGATTGTTTTTGTATTCTGTCACTAATATGTGTGTGCATCTCCACGTGACTCCCACTCTGTCTTTTTCTGTCTTCTGTTATATAAGATCTTACTGCTGTCTTCACCATGATCACACTTCGGCAGTCAAAAAAAAAAAAAAAAGATATATTTCAGGTGTTTGAGATGAAGGAGGTTGCGTGAGTTTAACCTTCCTTGGTATCCTTGTGAGCTTTCTGTATTTAATACTTGTTTTATCTGAAGCCTGTGGAGGTTCTAAACTATTAGAAGACACACTTTCTGAGAACTACCTTTCTAGTAGCCTGAAGATATATCATTGATGTTGGGCAACAAAGTTATTCTCTGTAATCCTCTTGATGTTGTAAATGAAAAAGAAGACGGAGCTAGCACCATCTGAACTTTGGGCAAACCATTTGCTCAAAAGGATCATCAAAGGACCAAGCCCTGCCAAAATAATATTTTAAAAAAATCCAGCAGAAAGGGAAAACATTGAGGAGCACTCACAAAAATGAAATTGGTGCAAATTAACTCCATTGTGATTGGAGAGCGATACAAAACAAATTCCCACCACAGCCTCGAGAGGAAAGCCACACAAGACAGACATTGAAGTGATAGCCTCACAGTAGCCATCTTTTAACAGCTTTCTTTCTTCAATGCTTTAACCTAAAAAAAAAAAAAAAAGAAGAAGAAGAAAAGAAAGAAAGAGGGGAAAAAAAAGAAAAGAAGAAAAAAGAAAAGGAAAAAAACCTACCCATTGTTATGCCCCCTATTCATCCTTCATTCAAAGTCATTCACTATGCATTAATTACCACTTTCTTCAATGCACCGGGAGCTCCTAAACACGTCTTGTTTTCAAAGAGGCACACTTCCATGCTTCTGCTATTTATATGCAGAGCCTGCTGAAATTTTCATCCCAAGACTTTGAGATCCCCCCTAATTTTTGCATACTGTAATTGTTCATAAGAAAAAAAAGACAAAAGAATGATTTCATGCTTCCAGGACAGTTGTTTGCATCTCTTTCATTTTTCTTTCCAGCTGTGACTGGCAGCAGAAGGTTCTTTAGCAGGTGTCCTGCCTGCCCTATGGTAATTTTTAACTTTCCCTCACTTTCTTTCATGTCTGTCACATTTATAGAGACATTTTTTTTATCCCTGTTGCCTGGTGCTGTTTTCCCCCCACCCCTTCTTATATCTATCTAATATCCGGATTTTTCGTTAATATGCCACTCTCTTTAAGAGCCATTTAAGAAGAAGGAAAAAGATTGAGTTGAGAGTTCAAAAGTCTTATCTAGACATTTTAACTATACAGTAATTGGATCTCTGATGCCCACTTTACTCTCATTCCTATGGATCTGATCACTGAAATTTGTGAAAACTACAATGTTGGTTAATGGGAAGTTAATGCAGAGTTGTTCTATGCCACTATTCAGTACAAAGCTTTGATTTTCTAATATTTCAAAATCAGAAGAAAATTGATGGACTTGGTTCTACAAACTAAACTTTAATAATTAAAACTTAATTTAAAAATATATTTGTGAGTCAATTCCGATAATCCTGCAAATTTGTGATATTTTGGGTTATTCTTGGCTAAACACACATTAATGTCATTTAAAAGAAGCAAAAAGGAAAAAGAATTAAATAAACTATATATATATATATATGTATATATATATATATATAAAAACACATATAGGATTGCTTACATTTTTCAAGAACCCAAATGGCCCAGACAAATTGTAATAATAACTAAATACCATACAAGGGGCACAGATAGCTAGATTTAGAAGGAAATTATTCCAGCTCCAGCCTTTTTTTTATAATAGTCACCAAAGACTAGTGAAAGATAGATCCTGGTCCTATGATGCCAGTCACAACATAATTTCCACGACATACCTGCTGCTTAGAAAAGTTTTGTAGTCTTTCATGGCCACTTCACCTGCACAGACATGGTGCATGTTATATCCCGCCCACGCCTGGCATTATCACATGGCCGTGATCTCTAGTGTCCTGAGGATGCAGTCAAGTTTTCATATTGTGGCACTCAATGCCTGAAACAGAGTAGATGCTTTAGAAATGATTGTTGTTATTATTGCTATTGTTGTTATCAGTGTAGATACCCTTCTAGCACTGTTTTTAGTAAAAACAGTCATTTTTCTTTATGTATCTGTGCAGGTTCTATTTTGAAAGTTGTTTGCAGCACATATATATTTGGATAATGGATCACATGTATGAAATCAGTAGTATCTATTTAATATTTCACTACCATAATCAGAGTTTCTCACTGGTGGAGCAAATTGGAAAATACAAATTACAATAATGGGAGCTCAGCATTGCAAGGGATCTCATAAATTGTCTAACTTCAACAGCCCTCCCACTGATAGAATGCATCCTATATTTACATTATATTTCTTATATTAAATAGTACAATGTATCATAAAATAGATCTAACAACAATTTGAAAGGAAATGAATCCTATGAAGAATAGCCACTGCTTATGAAGTGTATATTTTGTCCTGCACTACATAGCTTTATATAATTATTTCTAATGCTAATAAACAACTTTGCAAGTTAAAATATATATTGACTCTATTTTAGTATAGGACTAACCAGAGGCTCCAAGGGATGCATTGCCAAATTGTAAGAGGCAGGAAGGGGCAGAGCCAGAATTCCAACCCAGGCCTGCATAGCTCTGAAGTGCAAGTTCATTCCCAGATTCTTCAATCAGAAGGCAATGGCTCCAAAATTATAAAGAAATGTACTTATTCCTTTTTCTTTTTCTATGAATAATTTCGTGTGCTCTATATTATTCATCAAAGGGCATTTCCAACCTCTGAATTGATATACCAAGCCTTCAACTTGAATGATAGCCAGTCTTGAACTATTTAAAAGTTTAAGAAATCTAAGCTTCAAACTAGAATGAAATAAATGTCTTAATTTAATACAGGTGAAATGTGATTTGATGTATACAGTGGCCTTCTAATAAGTGATTTGGTTTAATTGCATTAGCATTTGCATAGGACCCAGGACTAGGAGATGTCTGAGTTTAGGTCCTGGCTCTGTCAGTCTCTGTGCAGCCTTGGCCAAGTTCCAACCTCTCTGAGCCTCCGTTTCCCCACTAGTCATATGGCATGATTAGTACCTTCCTTGCCTTCCTAATAGAGTGGGAATAATGTGAGATAAGACGGTGTGATCCTGCAAGTAAATATGGTTTGTAAACTAAGATGCAGCATATAAAATTTTATAATTAATAATGATTCATGCTTAACACCTCTATGGTTTATAAGGACTTTCTCTTAAATATATTATATATGAAAAACAAACTCCATCATAGAGTAATAAGCAAATAAATAAATAAGAATTCCCTTTCTCTGAGAAGGAACCAAAATATCACCATCATCTTTTGGTTTTTTGAAGAAGAAAAATCTAAAGGTACCTATTGTTTTGTTTTTAAAAGTAATTTTTAATTATTAGAAATAAGGAGGGAAAGTCACCCAAAGCAGTTATGATTCTGTTTGAAATGTAATTCTATGCTCTTGTTTTTAGGCATTTAAGACACCATTTTTTTTTTTTAATTATGGGAAAGTAACCAACAAAATATAAAGGGTAAAGCAAACACAGGATCAGAGATTCCTAGAGTTAGATAAAGATTTTGAGAGATAATCTTGTCTGGCTCCCCCATTTGCCTCATGATGAAACAGCCTCAGAGAGAAAGTGATTCCCCAAGTTTACCCAGCTCATGAACTTGGAGCAGCAACTCAAAGGCAGCTCCTTCTAATTCAAACTCCAGGGCTCTTTTCACTTCACCTCAGGCCTTTGTTCCTACCCACCAAGGGCACCTGGAGGGCCTGCAGTTTACTTTGTTATGGCTGTAAACTCCTAGTAAAAATGTTTGTCTTCAATTTCACACACCCTTTAGGATATCAAGGGTGCCCCAGAAGCCTCCAGGCAGCACAAGCCAGACTAAAGACAATTTGCCCCTGTGTGTGTGTGTGTGTGTGTGTGTGTGTGTGTGTGTGTGTGTGTGAAAGAAAGAGAGAGAGAGAGAGAAAGGTAGGGAGGGCCAGGAGAGGCAGCACATGAAGGGATTTCTAAGAAAAACTAAAAGAGAAAAGATTTCTCTATCCTCTGCTGAGAGCTTTTTTTAACACCATCTCCATCTATAGCTACATCTATCTCCTTATCAAAACAATAAAATGACTGACGCTTATGATAAAAAACAGAAGCAGTGCTCCCATCAGTGCCCAGCTCCCCACCTCTTCAGAGCATGCTGATTTCCTCAGAGGATTGCTTTTCATTATAATGTTTCCAGACCCACAATTTAAATATCTGATTATTACTGCTGCTCAGGCATGGCACTATTTATCATTTACATGACTACACAGAACATATCACTTTTATTGCTTGTATTGCCCCTAGACTTATGGTTTAAGTACCATTTTTAAAAAGAGTAAATTACGGCTATTTTGGAGAGTGTTGGAATCTTTAAAAAAAAAAAAACAAAACCATCCCTTTTTAGGAAAGCTTTGGAGGAGCCAGGAGGACATATAAATGCAAAAATTGTCATTAGCAACCACAATATATAACTAAGAGGTGAGCACAGAAGCCTTAAATATTGTTGTATATTGGTTTTTAACACATACATGATGTTATACTCAAAACTGATATTTCTCTACATTCTTAACAGTAAAATTAAATAAGATATAAGTCTCCTTTCCAGCATTCATGATTTTTACTTGAACATTTTTTAATTTCATACATTTTACTTTAGCACTTGTCATCCTTATATTATAAGAAGCTTGTTTGATGTAACATTGCCAGGAAATTTTTGTGTTCCTTAAGCACAGCAAGTCTGTGTCATTACCTGGAACTCTCTTCTGTGACGGACACTTGTATAGACATAAATTGGTGATTTATCATGGCCATTTTGGGTTACTAGACAGGGAAAGAGGAGTCCTCTGTGAACTATTGTTTACTTTCTATACTGTTTTCTTATTTTCTCTTCATAAGAGAAATTTTTATTCATCAAGGATTATTAAGCTCTTAGGGGGAGTATAACCAACCATTAATGTCAGTCTTCTGTAAAAATATTAGTTGCTAACATTGTGTATTTCAGGTAATTCAGTAATGCTAAATAAGACAATTTTCCTGGGTGTACTTCAGTTTACAAAGTGCTAATAAAATGCAATTTTAATATGTTTTATGAGACCATAGAGCAAAAATGTTTCCCACAGAGACAAGGGGTCAGCCTAAATTCCCAATGAATGGCAGTCAAGGCATATTTAAATGTTGCTGTTGTAGAAAAGCAACAGCTTCCCTCATTATAATTTCTCTATCACAATACTCAGGTATTCCACCCTGCCTGCTACTTCTTTTAGCATTCTCACAAATACTGTATGAAAACCATTCTCTGTTATTATAAGTGGGAAATAAGAATTTAGCAATAAAATAAATGAAAACTATATAGTAAGTATTGAGAATTATCTTAATATTAAGAACTCTCAAGAAAGATTTAATGTTATTGTTGATGTTCTATCCTCTGGTTTTATAGGTTTTATAACATTTTATCTACGTCACTTTGTATGTTTACATGACTAAAAAATGCAAAGTAGTAATATGTAAAAACTAGAAAAATCTGTGGACATATTTTCATGACCAAAAGTTATCTGAAATGTTGTCCAAATGCTTTATACCTGAAACTGGACAGGTCTCAGAACCATTAAAACATAAAGGAAGTGATTTAATAATTATTACCCTTTATTGAACAGCTATTTGTGCCCAACACAATGCTGGGTGTGCCATACACTTCAAGAGCCTTGTGACCGTCCAAGATTGATGTTATTAGCTCCATTTTACAGATTCAAGGATATTAAATAGTTGGTTCAGAGGTACAGCTGGCAAACAACAAGACCTCATTTTAAACCCAAGTGTTTTCTTTTAGAAATAAATAAAAACAGTTAATATAATACATAAAACCATTTAGTGTGTCTGAAGGAACATGGACTGTCATGGCAAATACACTTATAATCCAAGTGTGAGTATATGATTTTTTAAATAAAAGAGGAATAAACATCATTTTGTTTTTATCTCTCTGTGTCCACCTTCTCCATAGTCTCTGAAAGCAGAGATAATTTTTACTCATATTTTTATGCTAACACCTGGCATATAATAGACAAATGTTGAATCCATCGATTCTTATAACTGGGCCATGTCATGAATTCTGAATTGGCTCTAAATATAATCCAGAAAAATTGCTATACTACTCCCTAAGGTCTTGCTAAAAATTCAAACATAACTTAGAGTGATGAAGGATAAATTAAAAAGAAAAATAATTTTTAAAAAAATCTCCCAGTATTCAAAAGGTTTAAAGTATATCCCTGAGCACTTCCTTTGGTTATCAATTATTGCTATCTCCTTTAGCCACACACTGCCAGACAACCACACTCCTAGATTTTCAGAAGGCCACTCAGTGATACCCAAGAGTAAGATTATTGGGTCACATTTGTGACTGAGGCTTAGTAGCATGTTGAATTTAATCGACTATTCCTCTTTAGCAATTGGATTTCCTGGATGCAACTTGATTAATACAGCATATACACGAAGGAAGGCTATAGCTTCTTCCTTCAAAAGTGAATTTACTTTAACCCTGTCCAATCATCTTTTTAAGGTGAGTGGACAAAAGCGTTGACATGATCTTTTAACCTTTTAGGCACTTCCCTACCTGGGGCATTTTGCTCAGAAACGTGTAGTCACGCTGTTTGTTTGCACCCTCCTCTGCTATTCTGTTGTTTATTGTGCCTACACCACTGTATTTGCACTGGACACAGCTGAGTCTGCACTGTGACGGTGGCCTCTTGTCTGACATGTAAACAGCACCGGGAGGGAAGAGCCTGCAGAGCGCTGCCTGGTGTGTAGACTTGAAGTGGGAGTGTTGTTTTTATTATTATTCAATAGACCCTGATTTAGTGAAACACATCTTTAAGGTGCACCATCACCAGGAGGAGCTACATCAGCTGTGCTTCCATCTCAAGTCAGACAGTAGTAAGAAAGG